CACCCCGCCGCCGCTCCAGCTGCTCTGCTGCAGGCGTCCCCGATTAAGCCGCTGCTGAAACTGACCAGCATTGGCTGAATCGGGGTCCCCTGGAGCAGAGCCTGACTATCAGAAGGAGGGGCTATGAGGGGTCTGGGATGGCATCCCCCCCACCCTAACCCCACCCCAAGCCCCCCCTTCCGATAGTCCGGCAAATCTGATAATCCGGCACCCCTTGGGTCCTAAAGGTGCCGGATTATCGGAAGTTTACTGCAGTTGAGAAAAGTTGAGAAAAATTGAGATTTCTATACATTGTCAGACATAAAACTGCAGTATAAATTTGTGTGTCAACAAAATACAAAAGTTTCAGAGGGGTAGCCATGTTAGTCTGTAATAGAAAAAATACTTAAGAATTAATAGTCCTGCAGTACCTTAGAGACCAACAAAAAATGGAAATGGTATCATGAGCTGTCATGGGCAAAACCCACTTCTTCAGATATGTGTAAATTAAAGGGTCGAAGTTCCAAATCAACAGCAGAGAAAGAGAGGGCATGGGGAGGGAAAGGGGGGGGGAGGGAAATTAATAGTATATTAGAGTTTCCATGCTAGATGACGCTGATAGAGAAGGTTCCAAGTACTCTTAAGTACATGGTGTTTGGCCATTTATGTCATTAGAATGTGGAATGTAGCAGGTAATCCAGTTAAGGTCTTTATTTAAACTTCTATTATAGGTATCAAGCTTATAAATGAAATTAAGGTCTGCAACTTCCCTTTCAAGCTGATTTTTTAAATTGGCTTGTAATAACATGGAAACTTTAAGATCATTAATGAGTGCCCAGGCAAGTTAAAACATTCCCCAAAAGGTTTCTGTGTGTTACCATTTCAAATATCTGATTTGTGCCCATTAATCCTTTGTTGTAGAGACCGTCCAGTTTGGCCAATATACAGAGGGGCATCACTTCCTGATCTCTTGATGACATAGATCACAGTGGTAGATGTGCAGTTATTCACGGATACGGTGGTTTATGTGGTTAGGTCCTGTGATAATGTCACTTCAACAGACGTGTGGACAGAGTTGGCACCAGAGTTGACTGCAGGGGTGGATTCCTGGATGAGTACGATGGTGGTGTGTTGCGTGGTTGCTGGAAAGAATTTGTTTGAGGTTAGGGGGTTGTCTGTAGGCGAGGACTGGCCTCTCTGCCAATGCCTGTGAGAGTGAGGGGTCATTTTCCAGGATAGGTTGTAGATGGTTGATAATGCAGACGGGGGCTGTAGGTGATGACAAGTGGAGTTCTTTTCTTTTATTTGTAGGACCTATCTTGAAGAAGCTGATGTCTGCTACTTGTCTAGCTCTGTCAATCTGTTTTTCACTTCTCTGGGTGGGTATTTTAGTTTTAAGAATGCTTGATGTAGATCCTGTAGATGTCTGTCTCTGTCTGTGGGACTGGAGCAAATCTGATTGTATATTAGGGCCTGACTATAAACAATTGATTGGGAAATGTGTCTTAGATGGAAACTAGAGGCATGCAGGTAAGTGTAATGGTCAGTAGGTTTCCTGTATAAAGGCGGTGGAAATGTGGATTGGTCCAGGCAAAATACAAGTACATTTGTTGGCATTGATTCTTAGATATTCAGCAAGACATTTCAAGGGGAAAGACTATCAAGATTTCAACAGAGATTTGCTCTCCATTTCCAGAGGCAAAAACACATCTTGCCATTTATCTATTAATACAAAGAAATCATAAAAAGGAAAAATATATAAAAGATGTAAAATATACAACATAAAATTGAAGATGCTCCAAAGGCTTGATTTTTTCCCCTTGAGAGAGTAGGAGGAGGAAAGAGACTATAATCCTACCTTTGCAACATCTAACAATTGTCTGGAATAGCCACACTCTAACCTCTGCCGTGTAGCTTGTCTCAATGTCTGTGGAATCTACAAGACAGAAGAAAAAAAGAGGTTTGAGTAATTAACAGAGTACAATTTAGGCTTAGAGAATATTTCACCTAGTTCATTTAAAAATGCATAACATGGAAATTAAAAAAGACTGTTTTTGACAAATGACCAAAAGAAAAAAAATAAATATGAAAAACTCTGGAGAGGAGTATGTGCAAAATAAATTGAATCTAACTATTAAAAATGCAAATTGTCAACAAATCTTTCACCTACATCCTCATGAGGGATGTTAAACTTAGATTAACTGGATAATCAAATAGTTGATGCAAATTTGCAATTTGCCCCACAGCTGTTGCTACATTTCAAAGGTGAAAGTGCTATGGGGAGCATGTTTCAGATGGGACTCCATAGCTGGCCTCAGCCTGCATGTGGCATTTCAAAGTGGCAGCACCTCGTGCTGACCCCAGGCTCCATGCAGCGCTGCCACTTTGAAGTGCCCCCTTTTGTTTTCCATTAGGTTTCACCCCATACTTGTTCACCCTGTTTTCATGCCCTCTTACCTCAATCAATCCTGTGCTTGTATACTGAACCAAAAGGCTAGTGAAAGCTACAACTCTGCTGGGGAACTGTCACTGCTGCTATGAATCTGAACAAGACTAGATTGCAAATTTTTTCAGATGGGATCTAAAATACACCATATTTACAAATAAGGAACTCAGCATAAGTTATTAGTTGCTGCTGCTGCAGAACTGGAATGCTATTTTTAAGCGCTGTAGGACACAGATCTTGTCTGCCTACCCTTCTGAAGTTCCTAGAACCCTTTGGATGCTACATGAACAGTAACTAACTATCCAGTCTCTGGATAGTCATTTTCATTGCTCACTATTTTTCCTATTGAAAGGAAGAGGATAATATCCTCCTAGCCAATGGCAGACAGGGGACACTCAGTGTGTTTCTATAACATAACTGGTATATTCCTACACAGAAGCATATTCTTTACCAAAAATAGTTATTTCTGAAATCAGTCCTGATACTTCTAGAGCACCTGGCTAGTATTCCACCATAAACCAGTCTCCTACTGCTCTGTTGCAATACTAACTGCACAGCACGCACAATATAAATCAATGCTGCTCAGCAGAGTAACAAAAGAGCAGCTCATCAACCCAAGGCAAAAAACAAATGTCAAGAAAATGAACTCAAGAAAAACATTTTTAACCTTAACAAATACCAGCAATGCCTTGTGTCTATTTTCTACACATTGCCTTAAACTTTCTTTCTGCCCTTCTAAGTCACATTGTACATTACAAATTGCTGATAAAATACAAACAAAGATAACTCAACCAGAAAATATTTGCCCATTTTAACACATCTTATTGTATTAAATGCTGCATACAGGACGTGATGACGTATTTTTGAAATTAAGCATTCTATTATCCCCTTTTAAAGATTAATCTCATGCTTACGGCACTTATGTAGCAAATGATTTTCTGGTATCAGAGTCTTGATCAAATGACACAGACATGCTGGTGTTTGAGCAGAACTGTTTTTGCAAGCAAACAATTTCTCAAATATTGCATAACATAAAGGGCGGGACAAGGCATTCTCTGTGTGTGAAATAAGATATAGGGTAAAATTTTCAAAAACATAAGTCCTAATGACTTTCAATAGAACATACAGTAAACTTTGTAAAAGTGCTTCAGTGTCTTAGAAGCCTATGTTCCTGCCTAGAGCAACTTTCAATCTTAATAGTCAATATTTCAAGGATTCAGAGGGGTAGTCGTGTTAGTCTGTAACTGTAAAAACAACAAGGAGTCCTGTTACACCTTAGAGACTAACAGATTTATTAGGTCATGAGCTTTCAAGGGTAAAACCATTTTGTCAGATGTATTTCTACCGTGCAGCTGAAAAGTGTTACTGGTATACCTGCAGGAAAAGAACTCAAATTTTGGCAGACCTTTGATACTACTTTAGATTGATGGTAAACTCTTTACAAAGTCACCCATTCCTCACAGAGAACACCATCTAAGATGCTCCCTTATGTTTATATTGACAAGAGTTCAAGCACTTCCACAGACCCACAGAGAAAGCATGGCTTGGGAACAGAAATTATTTCAATTGTAACCAGGTATGAAACAATTTAGGACTTTATAAACTGATACCAACATCTTGAATTTCACCAGTGGTCAACAAAAGCAAGAGCAAACCCTATTGTACTGATATGGCGTGCTCCCCGTGTGAGAGCAACCTTGTAAGTAGGCCATGGCTTTCCACACTAGCTTGTTTCCAAGTGGTCTTTGTGCATAGCCACATGTAGAGAGCATTACAGCAATCTCATCAGTGTCAGAAAATGAAAAAGTACAGATATAGCACATAACAGCCACTACCTGCACAACCAGCAGCAAATCACAATCTACCATCACCCCTAAATTGTATACTTATTCTACAAACTCCTAATTCAGATGGAGTGATTAAGTTAAGAGACCACTGATGACTGCTTTCCCCCAATCTGTTAATACAGGTTGTACCTCCCTTAACTGGACTCCCTGGTACCGCAACATCTAGCATGGACCATGGATGATCCTGGATCACAGAGCCCAGGAAGAGGGAGGTCTGGCAGCTGAGCTGGAGTGCCATAAGGGGCACTGATTACTCAGCCAGGAACCCAGAGTGAGTGAGTGAGATGCGCTTGCGCACATGTGTGGTGATGGTGGTGGGGCAGATGGCATGGCAGGCAATTCTGACCCCAGTGGCCAGGGAGCTCTAGCCTGGCTACAACCATGGACCTCTGGGCCAGGCCAAGGAGCTCTGATCCCAGCTGCAGCCAGAGAGTTCTGGCAGCATTCTGGCTCCAGCAGCTGGGAAACTCTAGCCCTAATGGCAGCCAGAGAGCTCTGTCCCAGGCTGCAGAGCTCCATCTCTAGACTTGTTTAGGTTAGCAAGAAGCATGTAAATTAACATTCAGGTAACATCAAGCATATAAACATTCAATATTTAACCCAGAATGTTTTTGCTCTTAGAGAATTCATGGGAGTACATGGTTCTTGAGCTATAATGACCTTTGGGAAAAAATTCACAGCTGCAATCCTGAGAAAGATTTAGATTACTGCACTATATAAACAAACATGCATGATATTTTATAGACAAATCACATTCCTAGTCCCAAAAAATTATAAACCAAGCACGATTATACATTTTGAATGAGATATATTGGAAAATAAAAGTTTTACTAGACTTATTTAAATTATTCTACTTTCTCTACAATATTATTTAAATTAATGATTTTTTCCCCATTACACAAATTTTATTAACTCTATTGTAAATAAAAACTTCTTTAAAAGATTTTGTTGCATCTCTATTAGATACTTCCTTAATACAGGAATTTCTAATCTACTTTTGTTAAGTAACTATCGTGAAGGGCTCATGTCCTATCTCAAGACAAGACTCAACTTCCCTCAGTTTAAATTGTTGAAGCTGCAGCCCTTATGTGTAAACTAACCATTGGCTAGATTTAGAGGCTACCAAGAAGCAGAAGAAAACATTTTATTTTTAAAATAAGCCATCCGTTACTTTATCGACAGCTGCAGGACACATACGTGGAGGGAGGGGGGGAACATGACTCTAGGGCAGTGATTCTCAAACTTTTTGGCCCACAGTCCACCCCGCTCAATGCAGACCTTTCTGTGGACCACCCAGCCAATCAGCCATGATGACAAAATGGGTGCAGGAGTGGGCTGAGGGTGGGGTCTGGCTGGAAGATTGGGTGCAGGAGTGGGCTGAAGGAGATCTGAGAAGGAGGGAGGGTACAGGAATGGGGTGAAGGGTCTCTGAAGGAGGGAGGGTGCATGGTCTGGGCATGAAGGGCATGGGGGGCACTTACTTGGCTCCATGCCTCCTGCAGCTTCTAGGCACTGCCAACTACTGCTCCCATTGGCTATAATTCTGGCCAATAGGAGCAAAGGAAAGCCTCCAGGTGAGCAGTTTCCTACACTGCCATTCCCCCAGCCAGGAAGAGGGGGAGTGGCAATGTGCCGAACCATTTCTTCCGTCACAAGCCAGATCCATCCTGGAAAGCTCACCCATCCCCTCA